GAATATATTCCAAGTACCATTAAGTATTTTAAAAACAAAAAAATNTATGCAAACCACGATCCTGTAAAATTCGTTAAGAGAGGAATAGCGGTCCGAGATCGGCGCAACCTTTGTATTCTCTCAATCGTGCGCGCGAAAGGCAAACGGTCTAGCAATGCGCGGTATTGTTGATCAACTTAATACTTTATCAAGAATGATAGAATACAAGATTGCGCCGATCAGAGAGGATTTTTGAGAATAACTTTTGGGTGACGTCACACTGGTGCAATTGCGAGAGAGAAATGCCAAAACGTGAGCAAGAATGGAAGAAGAAGAAAAAATGTTGCAAGGAAAACGCAAACAAGTTGCACAAGTGTGACGTCATGCAAACAACGATTCTGTCAAACTCGTTAAGAGAGGAATAACGGTCCGAGATCGGCGCAACCTTTGTATTCTCTCAATCGTGATACTTTTTTTAAACATAAGGGTTGCTCACAGCTCGAGTGTGTTACCTTGTTAAAGTTGCCACGTTTTAACTTTAGAAGTAAACTGTGAATACCCTAATTGTCTTCCCAGATTCCAAAAGCCGAATGCCAACTTGAATTAAAGGAACCAACACTGAAGTGAGTCAAAATGAAAATAAAAGAGCACAAATTTCTATGTAAAGCAAAACTCTCTGGGAATCCTTCGAGACATCTGCCGGTCATATGACCGGTCATCTAAATGGGAGATCTGCAGCCTTTTGGCATCATATTTTACATCAGAATTGAAGAAATTTCTGAAAAATCTGATCAGTTATTTTGTGTAACTGTGATTTTGCATCCCTTGTCAACATATGGCCTCGGTTGATGTTAACTTAAGGTCGTTGTTTTACTGCCTTAAAATTGAAGCGAAATTTTTACAGCCTTTTTTATGTGTATTGGTTTCTATTTGAGTGTATTGAGAATCGGTCCCCTCCAAAAAAATTTTGCGACTAATCTCTAAAGAGAGTACTCCGGGATATGTCTCAATCGGGTACAATTGGGCATTAATTAGTCGCAACTAGACTCATACGGGTATTATTGGAGATCAATTAGTCTCGACTCATCCCCTACGGGTACGATTGAGGGTTTTATAACAAAAGTTGATTATTTAAAATAATTTATCACAGAAAAAAAGTAAATTAGGTTTCCTTTTTTAATACGCATTAACATTAATAATTACTATTTTTTTTTTAATAAGTAATTGGTTTATTTTAAAATTTTACACCTTTTACTCGCTTTCAAAAAGTAAAAGATCTGAAATTTTAGGAAAAAACTTGCTTAGCTGATATTCATAAGGTCCCGTGTGTTTTGCACTCGAATAAGCCACTATATGATGAATAATTACTTAACACTTTTTAAAAAACAAGCCTTGGCTAACAACTTTGTACAATTCCGTACAAGTATTTTACACACGCATAAGGCATACTAATTTTCACATTTGTAATACTTGCAAATAATTTGGCTTGGACGTATGTACATTAATTTGTAAGCCCAATTAATGTATTTATAATACACACTGATACCAATAAAAAAGAGGAAACACTTTGGAGCTTATTGTACACATATCGCTCGTTGCCATCATTGTCTCGCTCAACTCCACTTATCGCCCAACTTGTTTAAAACACGCTCCACGCCGTTGGCACATTCTGAACAGGCCATTAACACTCTAAATTCATGAACCTAAAACCAAATCAGTTATTCTCTTATTTGGAAGAACCATATTACTAGCACTTCGCTTACAGGCATGTTATTACTCCGGCACTATGAGATAACACGATGATGTTTGCAAGTATAATTTAATTGCGACAAATTCAACAGTTTGAATACTTTTTCTCTGTGGACGCGAGTGAAGATGGTGGAAATCGAATTTGTGAAACCACTAGCTACGAGGAAAATCTTTCTATTGCAAAAGAACAAAATAAATTTAGCACAGGTCATGGTACGATCAATCCTTTACCTTTAAGCTGTCTAAATCTAAAACAACAACTAATATCGGTGTTATGTTTATCCATAGATATTGTCCTGGTCACAAAACAAATTCCTTCACAAAAGCATCCCATCATCTTTGGTGGCCGCATTTGTTGTTCTTGCTCCATAGCGCTCTTAACTACAAAATATTGAAGCAATTATTACTTAGTAATGTTGTTAGTCATATTCTGCGGCTAATTAATAATATACCTGTTTATTGTGCTTAAACGATAATAAAAGCCCACAGCAAATAAATAAAGCAATTTTGAGTAGTCAAAAATCTCAAGTTGTCAACATTCTCCAGCCACGGTCCTGCCAAACTCCAATTTATCGATTAATTAAGAAAAACCATCGATCAAATATAATTCATTATAACCGAGGTGTATAGGTATGCATTTTTTTTTTTTTTTGTTGAAAATATAATAAATGGGTTTTATAGTATGCTCACCACTTCTTTATTTTTTAGAAAATTTGGCAGCTCAGTTCAAAAATTTAGGTCGCACTACAATACATTTTGGCAGCACTAATAAAGTTTAACAATAAGCCTGTTCCCGTACTACAGAATTTAATCAGAAATAGCCCCAACCGACCAGTGTTGCCGGTGAGAACTTTCAGAAAGTCGCAAGAAAGGGGTTATTGACGAAATAAGGTTCATCATATTATTATTTTTTTTACTAGTAAAAGAATACATCTGTTCAACGTAATGTTTAACGTAAAGTAAAAATGATGAATTTATTAATGGCTTTTGGTCGATTTTAGGGATGAGAAAACGACGAACTAACGACGAAAAAACGATTTATCACGGTTAAAAAATGAAAGTAATAAAATAAAAATAAAAGTAAAAAAATAAAATCTTTGGCTAACGAACAAACGTCAAAAATGGACGAACATTAAAGAACAATCGACGAACTATCGATTGCATTACAAAAATCTTAATATTTTCACAAATGAGGTGCTAACGTCGGTTGGGTAGAAATAGTCCGAAGTCGTTCGGTACACATAAGTCAGAATACCAACCGTTTAGCTATTAAATTCTGAACTACGTAACCTATTAAAAAACGAATGATGTCAAAATTAAGGTAACTAATTTGTCTTTCATAATTTATAGATAGCCAATAATTACGGGATGGTATAATATCTATACCAAAGAACGTAGATAACAAGAAGGGACAACTCGTTATAATTGTAGCGAAAGTGAGCAACAGGTGTGTGCCTTCTCTTTTGCCCTAGTACGTTTTTTGATTGGATGAAAAGAGAAGGCATGCCCCTGTTGTGCACTTTCGCTAGAATTATAACGAGTTGTCCCTTCTTATTATCTACGTTCTTTGTCTATACTATCGTATGTATCGTGCAGAAATGGACGTTCCTCTCGTTTGACGCGTTCGAAACGCTTCTTGCATCGTTTTGAAGGCGTCAAAGAAGAGGAAGAAAAATGTCATAGCAATAAATGCGAAGAAAAAAATGTATGATGTACGAAACCTAATAGAATAATATAATAATTTTATATTATGTGGACACGCCGAGTACAAAAATATTCGAAAAAGGGGAAAATAAGTGCATTGTACATCGCAATCCGACGCGAAAAAATCGCGCAAGTGTGCGCACGTTTGCGGATTCGAAGCTACCAGCGATTCAAGTGTTTATCGTGTATCGTACCAATGGCAAATTAATATCGATAACTACAATCAGTAGATGGCGATCTCTATTTTGCAACAGATGTTTTTCACTTGCCGAATATAAAGTTGACCAGCGATTCTAGAAGTATTTTGAGGAAAATTGAATTAAATTAATAAATAAAAGGAGAATTAAAATCGAGAAACAGTGGATAAATTAGCGAGAAATATGAATAAGGTAAGTAAGCGTCATCTTAGAAGATTGGTTCCTAAAGAAAGGGAAAATAACCGTGAAATGTTGAGGTTAAGTGAAAATGCGCAGATTGCCACAATTGCGTCCATTGCTGGAGTTGTCGAAAGTGGAGAAGATGTGCCATGTAATTCGGTAAATGAGGATTTGAAAATATTTTTTTTTTTTAAATCTTAAAATGTGGGCTATTCGCAATTAAATTTCCCATAAAATCCTTTCCGAACTTTTGACAATTCTGGCAAATGAAAATATTAATGTACCTAAATGCGCAGGAAGTTAAAATCATTAATCGTTTTATTTTACTCCAGCACCTTTTTAAAAAATATGGAGCGCAAAACCCGAGCACGTCGGCAGCGGCAGTACCGATAAAAAAGGCAAAATGTAAGTATGCGTTAATTTCTATTGATATTAAAGTATATCGATAAAATAATGTTCTAGATGCGACCGAAAATAGAATCCTCTTAGAAAACAGCTCAAGACGCGTTAGTGTGGCCAGTGAATGCACTATAGGTAAATAACTCCTTTCAGTGACATACATACATACATCTTCCCTTATACATATATCTTTTTATATTTTTTTATAATCACGGAGAATAAGCGTATCAACATCGGCCATACAAACAAATGGTAAGTTTTAAAACCTTATATATACTCACCTTATTATCAAAATAATTTAGTTATAATAAAAATCGCATATATTTTTCATATTTAGAAACCAACCAAGAAGTTTTCCAAGTTGTGTGTTGCAGTCACTGTAACGTGTTTGAAAAACAACTGCAAGCAATGGATAAAAAAATAAAAGTCCTGCAAAATGTGGTGGAAACCCAAAACGCCGCGATCATGGATGCAGTAGCCGGGCAAAAGGTGGCTACAGTCGTCAAATACTTTCCGGTATGCGATATACCTGAAATGCAAGCGTTGGAATGCAAAATAACTTCTGCCAACAGAGATATTTATGTGCGTTATCTATAAATGTAGAAATTTGCTGAATATTTGAAATGCTTTATAAGAAAAAAATTATATATGTATACATACATACATACATTTAAATATATAAAACTTTTCAAATCAATTTCATTTCTCTTTTTAAACTTATCGATTTTGCAGGAGGCTGCTATTTCATTCATTTTATGCAACAACATTAAAAATATTTCATTATTATATTAAGGTTGGACTTAAATCCTTTCCAAACTTTTATGGTGCACTTACAGGTGTTAAAAGTTTTTATTTACAATTTTACACACATATGTACATGGAAAATTTTTCCACTTTCAGGAGCCATTGCTAAAATGCCGTTTAAGGGATTGACGCCGGAAGATACTGTCAGAAACGCACTTAAATTTGAAAAGGCAAAATTTTTCAAAAAGGCATATCGACAAAAGAAAAAAAATTCAGAAAACTAATTTTTAAGTTAATCAAATTTATAAATTGGAATTCTTTTATTATCCATCTCAAAGAAGCACATGCACAAATGAAAATGAATTTAAAAATTAAATTATCGTAAATATTAGACTACTTTAGAATAAGAAAGTACTGAATTTGGAATTAACTAAAAGACTAAAGAAACAAATGTACAAATGAAAGTGAATTAAAAATATTAGACTGTTTTAGAATAAGAAAGAGTAATTAATGTAAATATTAGACTGTTATTGAAAAAGAAAGACTTTCATTTGAACATAAGAGAGAATTTAATTTTTGAATTAATGAAATTAATGAAGTGCAATTTATTTCCATAAAATATCTATGTTTGAGCCATACACAAAGGTGCAGTGTTGTTGTATGTCGTAAACTTTAAAAGCTTAAGTAAATATTTAGAGAACTTGAAACGACAGCCAAATATTATTTTACACCTCAAAAATTCATACTATGATTTTGATGGTACTTTGCGAACCCCTTAATATATTTCTTATGCGTTTAAAGTTTACGACATACGACACCGTTGTGAATACCCCAATTAACTTAAAGACCAAATAAACAAATGTACAAATGAAAATGAATTTAAAAATAAAATTAATGTAAATATTACACTGTTTTAGGATAACTTAAAAGACTAAAGAAACAAATGTACAAATGAAAGTGAATTCAAAAATGAAATACATAAAAATATTAGACTGTTTTAGAATAAGAAAGCATAATTAATGTAAATATTTGACTGTTTTAGAATAAGAAAGAATTTAATTAGAAAATAAGAAAAATTTGAATTTTTAATTTAATGAAGTGCAATTTTTTTCTACAAAATATCGTTATATTAACTTAAGTCCTAGAGAAACAAATGTACAAATAAAATAAATATAAATAAATAAAAGTCTTGCAAGTGAACTTAAAAATTAATATAAAGTGTTTTTTCTTTGTATTATATTAAATATGAAACGATTATGAAAAAGTAAGAAAACCACTATACCCGATTGGAATAAAAAGCGACTAGTCCCATTATATATCCGATTTCTATGAAAACGGACTACTCTACTTTCATACCCGTTCGGGTATAAAAGGGTACAATTAGTCTCTTCATAGGACATGCTCGAACAAAAGGGAACAGTTCAGTCCATACAAAGGGATGCAAAGTGGCATTAGTCGCATGTTCCTTTGCGACTCATCGCGGACACATCCCGGACTCGTCGCATTTTTTGCAGGGTCAGTCTGAAAAGGACTTGTAGGGAAGACAGTAGGTTTGTTCGTCGAAAATCTAGCGAGAATTATCACTCAAAATATCAGATAGTAAGAAAAAATGCTCCCAAATTCTCTCTCATGTAGAGAAACTTGCAATTTTCTGTACGAACGCAAATTTGCAAGTTTTTCTGCCAGCTAGTGTCCACGGTTGCATTTCAAACAAAAGAAATTTGTATAGAATTTTTAAAATTCTTTCAGAGGGGCAAAAAACAGGATCTACGTGTATATATCTTGTCAGTCCGACTTTCTTCAACATACGTTTCAATTTCTTTGTCGGGTTTACTATATCGACTCTGGTTGAGATTGCATTCCGATTAAGAATACAGTTTTTTTTTGCCGAGTACCTTTCAAATCATTGGAATTAACTAAATTAATTAAGTAAACAAGTATTAACTTACATTTTTCATTTTAAAATCGCTCCAGTTTGTAAATTTTTAAATTTAAGGAACTTGTGTATTCAAATTATCGTCGACAAAAAATCCAACCATGTGCCACAATCATATGTTTTTCCTATTTGCAAATTCTTGCTGGCAAAATTTTTTCTGGCTCGAATTTGTAACTTCTCTCCAAGAAATAGTCTTTTTGCTCTTGATTTATTTCAATAAACCATGTGAAATTTAGTTGAAACATTTTAGCCGTTTTTAGCCGGTATTTTTTGCCAATTTAGCCGGTTCGTCCAAAAAGTTCTGGCAACACTGTTTTCTACTACCATTTTCGCGCCAAAAGATTTCATTCTTCCCCTTTCTCCGTCCTTCGTAAATGCAACCTTTTGTAAGGGAGTGTCAAACCGCGGCTGTCAATAATTATTTAACCTTGTATTATTGAATGATTTACAAACAAAACGAAAACGATCGTAATGAAATCACTTCAGCGCATGCGCAGTATTCATAAGCTGGTAACAAAATATTATCCCATGAAGTACGCAACACCAGAATTTATACAAAATTTCAAAGCTGAATTGCTGAATAGAATAAATTGTTACCAAGGTACACTGAAGGAAATAATGCATAGTAAAAATAAATACTTTAAATTTGATTATCGTTTAAAATCGTTCGTATTTAAGAATAATGTTTTCACACAAAATTTATTACGCACGTCTTTGACTGCACATCTGAGTATGTACTTAGTGTACTTGTATGTATTGTTTATTTAGAATTGCGGTTACAAGAAGTGGTCTTATTTTTTCGTAAGAAAATTTTCCGGTGTCAAAATGTTCGGCAACAAGCAGAATAGGCCTGTATATGTATTTTATACATTTTATACATTTAATTGCACATATATTTACGTTGTACTAAAGGTATGTATATAATAATAATAATAATAATAATAATAATAATAGATTGGCGCTTACACATATGTTAGTGTTTGGCCGATGTTGTCACACAAAGCGGAGGGACCTACAGCTTTACGCCGACTCCGAACGGCGATTGTATTTTTTGCGAGAAGCTGTTTTTCATGGCAGAAATACAGTCGGAGGTTGCCATTGCCTGCCGAGGGACGACCGCTGTTAAGAAAAAACTTTTTTATACCCGAGCGCACTTGTGCACAAGGGTATTATAACTTTGTTCACATAACGGTTGTTTGTAACAGGCAAAACGAATCGAGATAGATATAGACAAATGTATACATAAATGATCAGAAT